CCATCTGCCGCTACACGAACATCACGAGCATCAGCGACAAAAGTTTAGTGCTCCCAGCAGATATATATATATATATATATATATATATATATATATATATATATATATATATATATATATATATATATATATATATATATATATAAGGATTAGGGATGGGGCGGGGGAAAGGTATGGTGCCCAACCATTTGGGGGGTCGGGGATTGAACGCCAACCTGCATGAAGCGATACCGTAGCTCTACCGTCCCAATTCAAGTGGTTGGGCTTATATATATATATAGTTACAAACTTTGTTACAAACAAGGAATATAGCTGTTAGTTACAAACTATTGGGTGCTTCCAGCTCCTCAGATGGCGGGCAGGAGACCTGAATGCAGTGTGCATTTCTCCACGGTATTGCCACGCTGAGGCGCTGGAAAAGAAAGCTGGCAGCTCTAGGGTCTCTTAATATTGTTTAAATTTGCTTAAAAGCTGGTGTATATATATATAAGTCATATTTAATAATATATGTCTACAGGAAAGACTGCTACCAAAATATACTAATATATATATATATATATATATATATATATATATATATATATATATAATGCCATTCTGTGTAAATGGCCGTCCATTTACAAGATCCCTATAAGGATGAAGTGACTGTTTTGCTCCTCTAACTTTTATAAATACGAGTTCCTTAGATGTTATTATTACGGACCATTGAGCGTCGAAATATTTATGTTTGTGCAAAGTGATCTCCCTGATGGTGAATGGTGGCAACCTGTCTTCCAGAAATAATAGTACTTATATGAACTATTAGTGGAAGGTAGGGTACGCTGCGTGCACTCAGTAGGGTACCCTGCATGCCCTAAGTACGGTACCCTGCATGCACTCAGTAGGGTACCCTGCATGCCCTCAGTAGGGTACCCTGCATGCACTCAGTAGGCTTAATCAGCTTCAAATAGAACCATACGAGGAAGAAGTGCAAGATTTTATTCTGGTGTTGCTGCAATATTATAAATTTGTGACCCTTCGGTTTTACATCAATGACGGAGGCGTTCGACACCTTCACTATACCTTCATGTCCATAGAACAGATGCAACCAACGTTACAGTACATATATTATTATTGTCATTATTAATTAATATTAAAATATTAATGTAAATTGTAAAAGATTAAATGTGTAGGATTTCGCTACGGGTCATCTACCACCTCACACTTAACAGATTATAATCGAGTACTTGACTCCAATCTGAGATTCCTGTCTTGGGTTGGATCCCAAGTAGTGAGACAAACTTAACGACAGGACCAGGACAACTGGTAAGAAACTTTCGGTTAGAAAGGAGGTGTCCAAGAGCCAGCAGCCCGGGCCTGCAGGCACAAACAGGTGAACAGTCCCTTAATCTACTGGTCTCAGTGCCCTATAGGGAAGCTCTCCAACACATAAGGGTGTATTGCATATCCCCCTGACTACTAGATGTTCCACCTGCACGAACAGACCAATTTTAATGGTTATATCACACAAAGCGCAAAGTCATCGAACTAGTTTTGGTAACAGTTTGGCAACTTAAACATTGCCTCTTGCAACACCCAATATATTTAGTTGACATTATTTGCAGTATTTATGCAGCCACCAAACGTATAATGCTTGATATACGCAAGTGATATACGCAAGTGATGTACGCAACCAGGTACAACCTAACCAAGGTACAACCAACCAGGTACAACCTAACCTAACCAGGAGGCCTGGTTAGGTTAGGTTAGCGTCCCCGCCGACCGGGCCGCGGGGACGCTAAGCCCCGAAGCACCCCAAGGTAAGTGATGTACGCAAGCGATGTACACAAATCATTACAGGTGTGGATGGAGGGAACAGGTGTTCAGTCATACAACAAATCAATAACAATTAGTGCCGAGACTTGCATTTGTAAACCACTCAGTAATTCACAAAAACAGAATGACGAGACTAAACATAAAACGGGTAAAGTAATTTGCGCATCCAGTCAATAAAAAACACCAAAAACCACAAACATATCAATGTAAAATATAGAAAAACATAAAAAACATTGCTTCAAATTCCAACGCATTTCAGCTTACATCTATCGGGATCTCTATCATACAGAAGCATGACGTCTGCCATCCTCCACTGGCACACCGTAGATGGCTTATGAGGATTAATAATATCCTCAACAACACGAGAGTGGATAAATTGGATATTCAGTTCCAGATTGCACATATCACATACCAGTTGATCAATAGGTTTAATGTCTTCACATTTAATGTTAAATATGGCGAGAGTATGATCGAATTTGTGATCACAGAATTTACACGAAGTGCTCACAGTTTACATGAAGTGATCACAAAGTTTACATTTGTCCTCTCCTAAAGTAACAAGAGGTGTGTACATCAAGAAATTTATAATATATACAAATAAAATAAATCATTAATAATGAATACAAAATCATTTTTATAGTATAATATTAGTAGACCACAATATTATTATTAATTAAATTGTATTAATAACTAATTAGCATTTAAGGTATAATAATAATAATAATAATAATAATAATAATTTAGGATAAAACCCCACACTTGTGTATTTGTAAAATTAACGTAAGGAAATTACACCAAGTCTTTCACACTCTTCTGAGTGCTTTGTCAAGGTCTGAGTGTGTGATAAGGACCAGACTTACATCTCAAGGTCTAATGAGACCCTAATACAAAGTCTGGTCCTAACCACACACTCAGACCTCAATAAAGCACTCGGGAGAGTGCGAAAGACTTGGTGTAAATTCCTTACATCAATTTCACAAATAGACAAGTGTGTGGGTTCTTATCCTATGTTATGTCTGTGAGAAGAAATTACCATTACTAATAATAATAATAATAATTAATAATTATTATTATAAAAATATAATAATAATAATAATAATAATAATAATAATAATAATATAATAATAATTATTATTATTATTATTATTATTATTATTATAACAATATAATAATAATCATAAGTTGAAATCCTAAATATTACATTTGTCAAAACACTATTTATGCAAGATAATTGCATGCTTTTGTTGCACTTTTTAATTAGTTTCCTGTACTAATAAAAACACGACCTTCTTTATCCTTTTATCAGTATTAAGACTTCAAATCTGTTGCCTACCGTTTGTTTCATGCCTTTACAAGGTGATTATAAACAGTTGAGGGAACCATCTTATATGGTCGTTTAGCCTTTTGCCAAAACCAATGCTATTAGTTCGTGGTACGAACCACCTGCTTTAGTGTGGTATAAACACTTTAAAGTGCGGTATGAACAAGTTGCTTTATTGTTATTTATAAACCAATTGCTTTACTGTGGTGTATGAAGCACCTGCTTTACTGTGGGGGTATGAACCAAGTGCTTTATTACAACTGCTTTATAGGTATAAAGCAGTTGTTTTACTGTGTACTATGAACCAAATACTTTATTGTTTGGGATGAGCCAGATGCTTTATTGTTTTATATGAACCAGTTGCTTTACTGTGTACAGTGAACCAGCTATTCGCAAGAGTGCGAAGTATCCGCGAGGAAAAGGGAAGAAGGCTATCAGGGGAAGGCGCCAAGCCATTACAACTGTATAGTACTGGGAAGGGGTCAAGATAAGGATTTGGGATGGGACGGGGGGAAAGGAATGGTGCCCAACCATTTGGACAGTCGGGGATTGAGCGCCGATCTGCATGACATGAGAATGAAGAGTATCCGCGATAATGAAGAGTATCCACAAGAACGAAGAGTATCCGCGAGAAGGCAGAGTATCCACAAGAATGGAGAGTATCCGCGAGATGGCAGAGTATCCGCGAGAAGGCAGAGTATCCACAAGAATGAAGAGTATCCGCGAGAAGGCAGAGTATCCACAAGAACGAAGAGTATCCGCGAGAATGAAGAGTAACGTGTCACCCAAGAGTCCAAGGCCCCACAGGAAGAGTCCAAAGAGTAAATTAAGAGAGCCTGTTCACCCAGCACTGCTCAGCGACACACGGCCGGCTGTGTGCTGGCTGCTAGGATAATGTTGCTGAGAGAGAATGTGGCCAGCAGGATTACGGCGCTGGATGAGTGAGCAAGGATTATGGCATGGTCGAGTGTGGGGAAGGATAATATAGCGGAGAGTAACTGTGACGATGAAAATAGCGTTGGGTTAGCTCGGGAATGATAATGGCTCTTGGATAATTGTGAGCAGGATAATGGGGATGAGTTACTCTGGCAAGATAACGGGGAATGGTGAGTATTGGCAGGATAATGGCGCTGGGTGATAGTGGGCAGGATAATGGAGCTGGGTGATAGTGGGCAAGATAATGGCACTGGGTGATAGCGGGCAGGATAATGGTGGGTAGGATAATGGGACTAGTCGATAGTGAGCAGGATAACTGTGCTGAGTGATACTGGGGCAGGATAATGACGCTGGCGAGTATGAAAAGGATAATGGCGCAGGGTGATGCTTGGATAATGGCACTAGCCAAGGAGTGTGGGCGTGGTGTCGGGTATCGGGGGCGGCGATCAGGCAGGGCGCTGGCCGAGGATTGATCGCCACCGTGACCCCGCGGGCTGGGCCGTGCGTCCAGGGCTGGAGAGGAGGTATTGCTGTGTCCTGACGAGGGTCTGAGGGAGCGCCGCGCCCGGTCGATAGCCACGTCCCCATTATTCCATTACTGGAGCCCGGGCGGCGGCGCTAAGTTGCCTATCAGAGGCCGGGCTCCGTTACCGAATCAACACGGCCGTAACGCGACCTGCCACCGACCACCGCCGCTGCCCGCCACTGATTGGCAGACCGGTCGATGATTGACAGCGTTGTCATGGCGACGGCGGACGGCCGGCCAATAGGATGGTGGAATTGCTCTATGGGCGGCGCTAGGGGAGGGGCGCTGCGGTGATTGGTGGAGGCAGCTACGGGGGGCGTGGCCGGGATAAGCCCCGTCCCCTGGCCCGCCAGCGGCACCGAGCGGTCGCCACGCTGGAGTCCTCGCCTGCCGTTTAACCCGCCAAGCTGGCGTCCTCCGTCGCGGATCTGCTGCGGGCGCTGCAGCCCAACATGGCGCTCATGAGTGGACTCGGTGGTCTTGGTTCTTTTGGTTCTTTTGGCGCGTTCTCGGCTCTAAATGCCTTGAGTGCAAATGCGGCGAGCAATGGTAATTTGGGAGGATCTGGCAGTCCTGTAGTTCCCACGCCGCTAGTGCCGTTGCCCTCACTCTCCTTCACCGCCGCCCAGGTGGCCGCCGTCTGCGAGACTCTGGAAGAGAGTGGCGACATGGAGCGACTTGGACGCTTCTTGTGGTCGCTGCCGGTGGCTCACCCGCACCTCCACGACCTCAACAAACACGAGGCGGTGCTGCGAGCGCGCGCCCTCGTCTCCTTCCACGTGGGCAACTTCAGGGAGCTCTACGCTATATTGGAATCACAACGTTTTTCCAAATCGTCGCACGCGCGTCTGCAGGCACTGTGGCTGGAGGCGCACTACCAGGAGGCTGAGCGCCTCCGGGGCCGCCCGCTGGGGCCGGTTGACAAGTACAGAGTCCGCAAGAAGTTTCCCTTTCCCAGGACCATCTGGGACGGCGAGCAGAAGACTCACTGCTTCAAGGAACGCACAAGATCCCTACTTAGGGAATCCTACCTCCAGGACCCGTACCCCAACCCCAGCAAGAAGAGGGAGCTGGCCTCGGCCACGGGTCTCACCCCTACACAAGTCGGCAACTGGTTCAAGAACCGCAGGCAGCGAGACAGAGCAGCAGCTGCTAAGAACAGGTAAGCCGCCGCCTGTCCATGGTGGCCACGCGGCATGCCTCAGGGGTACAACCCAGGGGTGGCGCCTTCCTCAGTGGCAAATGGACGGGGGCGTCACCACCTTGCCTTTTTGCCACTGTTTCGACTCGCATGTTACTGACGCACACACTCCAAGACGTGAAACTGAACTAAAGACCGCAGCGGCTGCCAGTGAGTGGGGTTTCCACTGCAGCTATAGAATATACTTTCAGAGGTGACTTCTCTAAAACACTGTGATTCCAACATATTTATAATAGAGCTTGCACGAGAGGAAACCTTACTCACTGGCTCATCCAATATCAACACTAGTCACTAAACCATAATTTTAAGCAAAAAACAAATATAATATATTAAATGTCTATTAATTCTCGTACACGGTTGTCTGCACCACGAGACGGTGAATATGTAGTCAGTTCCAGATTACAAAGTTCTGGTCGGTAGAGAATTGACCATCTGCTCACCCTCCTTATCTTTCAATACCAGTGGGAACTGATCAATAAGCCCGGTGGTGTCTGTGGACGGGTTACTACAACTCCAGGATCGGCCCCCTGTACTCACCACCACCACACTTACAAATCATATACGAAAATTGCGTGTCAAATTATATGTGAGGTTTTGGGATTAGGAAATTTGGATCACATGCGTTAACTCGAGCAAAGAAACTGATACCACGGAGTATTCCCACCCACACACACACATGAAAATATACATGGTACATGTGTTTCTTCATGTGTCATATCAAAACAAGTGTCATGTCACCAGAGGGCCTGACAGCAGTTGGAGACGACACACTTGGGGGCAACATCAAAGCTGTCAGCTGTGGCTTTAATTATAGAGAGGCATGTTGATGTGGGTTCCGCGCGCGCGCGCGCGGACGCTTTGCAAAGACGATCCCCGTCAAGTGAGGGAGAGGTTTACAGGTGGAGTTTTCTGTGTGTGCTCGCTCTCTCTCTCTCTCTCTCTCTCTCTCTCTCTCTCTCTCTCTCTCGCTCTCTCTCTCTCTCTCCTCTCTCTCTCTCTCTCTCTCTCTCTCTCTCTCTCTCTCTCTCTCTCTCTCTCTCTCTCTCTCTCTCTCTCTCTCTCTCTCTCTCTCTCTCTGTTTTTGGGATTCACCTGCAAAGGACTTTACTTTGTTACAAGGGTTGTTGTTGAGCAGTAGAAGAGCCCGCTTTCTCAGTGGGGGTTTCGGGTAATAAGGCTGACGAGGGTGGGAGTCCAGTCCTAATCCCCACTGTATACAGTGGGGATTAGACTTTAAGACGTCCCTCTAAAACAGTTTATTCTCGACTGAGTTACTCTACCTTGTGATGAAGTTACATTACTGGTGGTTAACCTTGAAGAAGTTACCCTACTGGGGGTTTACCTTGAAGAAATTACCATGTATGGTGGTTTTAGATCATAAAGTTAACCCAGATGTGAGTTTACTCCCAACGAGTTAACCTACATATCGGTTTAATCCTGACTGAAGTTGACACACACGAGGGGTTTACTCCTGACGAAGTTACCTAATATGAGGGGTTTACGTACCGTTGCCCAAGTTCACCCGCGGCGGCTTCGTCCAGGATAGGAGTGAGGGGATATATGCGAGGAAAACCTAGACCGGTTCATTCATGGCAGCAGTAGCAAGGAGGGGAAGGGAGGGGAGGGAGGGAGGTAGGGATTATAATTGGCTGTGGGCGTACTGGCGACGGTGTGGCAGCCCTCGAGGTTTCACTAGGGGAGGAGGGGCTTCATTAACGCTGGAGGTTTATTGCTTGTGAACCTCGAACTGGATATGCGGCTTCACTAGAGGGAGGGCGAGGAAGGGAGAGAGGAAGGGAGAGAGGAAGGGAGGGAGTGAAGGGTTTGGGACAAAGAGTATACGTGGAATTATTAGTGATTAATCGCGATAATCAAGGGTTCCAATAACCAAGAGGCTCAAATGATGATCATTTCTGATCGCGATAATCAAAGGTTCTACTCGACGTGTTAATTATCGATCGCGATAGCCAAGTGCTCAAAAACTGCATGGTAATCATTGATTACCATTTTTAGAATTATTTATTACAAATTAAAATAAAAATATAAATAATTTATACCTATTTCTCAATAATAATAATAATAATAATAATTTAGCTACCCACGGAAGGTATTATTCACTTATTCATTATTTTTTTCTGTCCCTCTATTACATTCTTCCTCTTTTCTTCCTAGCCAATCTTTGTACATCTTATTGTTTATCCTATTTATTCCTTTATTTCCCCACCTTCTTTCTCCCCTACCCTTTTCTACCCTAGTTATATTTCCCTCTCACATCTTTCCTTTCCCCCTCCCCTTTTTCTTTCTCTCCTCTTCTTTACCCTATCTCCTCCTCTTTCCTTTCCCTATCCCCCTCTTTCCTTCCCTTATCTACTCTTCCAGTCTCCTCTTTCCCGTGGGTCTTGAGTCGTGATTGCTGTTCCAGCTTGTTACTGCTGCTAGGATTAAAATCCCAGATATTTTTATTATCACTTATTGCATTACCCATTGTTATTATTATTATTGTTATTATTATTATTATAATTATTAATATAATTATTATTGTTATTATTTGATTTGATTTTATCACTTATCCCATAATCTCTGTCTCTATTTTCGGGCACTTATTTATTGTGGTATGGTCCCCTCAGTATACTTTCTGTATATACTTTGATCCCTAAGTATATGTACTGTGTTTACTCTGGACTCTCAGTATATTGTGTATATTCTTCTACATAGTCTCACCAACTTGGTGTCTTCTTTTGATAATAACTTACTCTGGTCGTTCATTATACTTACTGTGTATACTCTGGTTTACAGTGACTGGTTAATGGAGCCTCTGGTATATAGAGCGTCTGGGTTAAAGCGGTTTCATCAACTTCAACACTGGGTTACAGTAACTCTTGGTTTATAGTGCGTTCGGTTTACATACTCTGGTTTACAGTGATTGTCAGTGATTATGATTTACAGATATTCTCGTTTATAATGACCATGGTTTACAGTGATTGGCTTACTGATACTATGGTTTATAGTGACTTTAGTAAACAGTGAATCAGGTTTATCGTAATTCTAGTTTGGTGACTAGTTTACAGTGACTATGGGACTGTGGTTTAGATATTAGTTTACAGTGACTACGGTTTACAGACTAGTTTATAGTAATTGTTTACCATGACTGGATTACATTTTAGCTTTGATTCCATTTAATGTTCTACATTACTTTCTTTAAAAAAAAAACGTATTTCATAAGTTACATAACAAACACCTGATTTGTAACGTTCCAGTTATCTCTTCATTTAATTTGATATATTACGTTAAATATTTTACATTAAGCCCCATTTTCTCTGTTCATTTTGTTCTATAAGTTTGGCTGTTTGCCTTTACATCACTAAGTATTGCTGATTAACTCGTAATAGTATTCAACTCTTACCAATAGTTCTGAAAATAATAATAATAATAATATCAACAATAAAAATTACATTTTCGAAAACAGTAAAATAATGTCAATAATAATACATTTCACGAAGCCCTCAAAATCAATCCCATTAGTGACGAGGAGCCACAAGTAACGAGGAGCCACAAGTTATGAGGAGCCACAAGTAACGAGGAACTACAAGTAACGAGGAGCCACAAGTTATGAGGAGCAGCAAGTGACAAGGAGCCACAAGTTATGAGGAGCCACAAGTAACGAGGACTACAAGTAACGAGGAGCCACAAGTTATGAGGAGCAGCAAGTGACGAGGAGCCACAAGTAACGAGGAGCCACAAGTGACGAGGAGCCACAAGTGATGAGGAGCCACAAGTGATGAGGAGCCACAAGTAACGAGGAGCCATAAGTTATGAGGAGCCACAAGTGACGAGGAGCCACAAGTGACGAGGAGCCACAAGTAACGAGGAGCCATAAGTTATGAGGAGCCACAAGTAACGAGGAGCCATAAGTTATGAGGGGCCACAAGTAACGAGGAGCCATAAGTTATGAGGAGCCACAAGTAACGAGGAGCTATAAGTTATAAGGAGCCACAAGTAACGAGGAGCCATAAGTTATGAGGAGCCACAAGTAACGAGGAGCCATAAGTTATGAGGAGCCACAAGTAACGAGGAGCCATAAGTTATGAGGAGCCACAAGTGACGAGGAGCCATAAGTTATGAGGAGCCACAAGTAACGAGGAGCCACAAGTAACGAGGAGTCATAAGTTATGAGGAGCCACAAGTAACGAGGAGCCATAAATTATGAGGAGCCACAAGTAACGAGGAGCCACAAGTAACGAGGAGCCACGAGTGACGAGGAGCCACAAGTGATGAGGAGCCACAAGTGACGAGGAGCCACAAGTAACGAGGAGCCACAAGTAACGAGGAGCCACAAGTGATGAGGAGCCACAAGTGACGAGGAGCCACAAGTAACGAGGAGTCACAAGTAACGAGGAGCCACAAGTGATGAGGAGCCACAAGTGATGAGGAGCCACAAGTAACGAGAAGCCACAAGTGATGAGGAGCCACAAGTAACGAGGAGCCACAAGTGATGAGGAGCCACAAGTAACGAGGAGCCACAAGTGATGAGGAGTCACAAGTGATGAGGAGCCACAAGTAACGAGGAGCCACAAGTAACGAGGAGCCACAAGTGATGAGGAGCCACAAGTGATGAGGAGCCACAAGTGACGAGGAGCCACAAGTAACGAGGAGTCACAAATGATGAGCCACAAGTAACGAGGAGCCACAAGTAACGAGGAGCCACAAGTGATGAGGAGCCACAAGTAACGAGGAGCCACAAGTGATGAGGAGCCACAAGTAACGAGGAGCCACAAGTGATGAGGAGCCACAAGTGATTAGGAGCCACAAGTAACGAGGAGCCACAAGTAACGAGGAGCCACAAGTAATGAGGAGCCACAAGTGATGAGCCACAAGTAACGAGGAGCCACAAGTAACGAGGAGCCACAAGTGATGAGGAGCCACAAGTAACGAGGAGCCACAAGTAACGACGAGCCACGAGTGACG